TTTGACAAGCAATCTTTGCCCCAACAGAGGTCAGGGAGCCGCCTTTCACCACCCGAGCTGAAGGCCAAGGGTTGGAGACTTGTCGAAGGAGTGTCCGCAGAGGAAACCACTCTCCCCACCCCAGCGAGACTCGCGAAGCAGTGCCTTTCCATGGAACCGAGACTGGCTGGATCTGGTGAGTTCCAGCGTGGCTTGGGAGCATTCAAATTGCATGCCATAGCAGCTTTCGGGAGTGGGTTCTCGGCTTTGTCGCTCGTGTTTTGGGCAGCTTGGAACGACGATGGACACAGTCAATAGCTTTGTGGGCATGGACACCTCACTAGCACATCCACCGAAGTTCCCTATTTTAAGAGCCCGCCCTTACTTTAAGTAAGTGCCTACTTAATTAAGTAAGGAGGTAAACTCCTAGGTAGGACGCAGGATAGCCCACGCAATATGTGGTTCCTCCGACTACAAGATATCGTTTTGGGTTGAAAGTGGTCCACCGAAGTAACGCCTCCTTGAGAAGAAAGGATAGTGCATTATTAACCGAACGTCAGCAGTGCATTCGCACGAACCCCAATGCCAAAACTTTAGGATCTTTCTTTTGGAGAGTTCTCAATTTCTTGAATTTCAATTGGTTCAAACAAAACACGACATGCACTGAAGTCAGCTTTTGCTGCAACATGATGGTCCTGGTCAACAAGGTGACTTTCTCATAGCTCACGACCGCAGAGTCAGTCGACGTCGCAGACACCTGGTTTCCGGTGACAAAGCCTGGAATCGCTGGACGGGGTTGTGACCCAAACTGCCGCCGCCGGAGTGGCACCGCGCTTCCGAACCGATGAACACGTTTTTGCGACCGTCGCAAAAACAGGACACTCTTGCGTTGGCACGATGTTGAATCCTTCGAGCCTTCATGAATTCAGAGATCTTTCTAAGATTTTCTAAGAATGAACAGCTTCTTGCAGCTCCAGACCTGAGTGCCCTTGCTTGCTGAATACATGACATGTCGATACCATCCACCCAGCTCAGCGCGAACCTTGGAGGCCGTGGCTGGCATTTACAAGCGCCAGGGCGAGAAATTTGTGTGCCAACGGGATAAGGCGGTTTCCGCGGCGGGAGCCGCTGCCATCCGTGGGGTCAGCGGGTGCCAAAAGCCGGTGGGCCATGGCTCAAAAATAGGATGCTCCTAAAAAAAATTGAACAACATGGCTGAAAACCTGGATCTTCCATGTCGAGCCACATCCAGATGGCCTATGTTTTTGTGTATAATTAATCCGTGTTGTTTTCCTTGCAGTTATATGTTACTATGTGTTGTTCCAAAATGTCACGGCACACCTTGGACCACGCCGTGAACCGGATAGATCTTCATGTTGGACCTAGAGTTCACAGGGTCAAACAGCAGGACTTGATTTTGTGTTCAATTTGTTTTGTAGAATGTTTTACGAACACATTATGTGTTCTATATATATATACTCATTTATATAAATACAGAATCTCCTCGGCGTTTCCAGGCATTTCTATGAACACTTAGCGAGCACTATGTGCAAGCACCATGTCCAATCATTAAAAAAAACAAGAACAAGCGAGGAAGGAAGGCAGGCAGGAAGACCGCCAGGCAGGCAGGGAGAGAGTGAGAGGGACCTTTTTTCAAAAGAAAGAAAGAGAGAGGGAGGGAGGAGAGAGAGATGGAGAGAGTGGACCAACGAACGTTCCAAGAGCTGAATGACCTCTCAGAGCGTTACAAGCTGGATGTTGTGGTGAGGGAACTCCATGCTGCTGTGACCTTCCTTGAGTGTGTGACCGACAACACCTTTGGGCTCTACCTCAGCTGCTTCGACGGCGCACTGGTTTGCATGAAGGACCCCTGAGCGAGACAACTCTTCACTCCGGGTGCAGTGGACCGTAGAACCCCCAAGATCTCAGAGTTCGCGGTTGATGGTACCACCCACCCACCAGCAGAAGATGTTCCTCGTTTCGCAAAGCTCTGGACCGGATGGTGGGCAGCGCCAGGAAACCTTGGAGCTCATGTGTTTCGACAAGAAATCACGCCTGCGAGGCCTATTTTTGAGTCAGGTTTTTGGAAGTGTCTGGGAACGCTTGGGTACGCTTGGAGTCTGCCAGAATGCTTGGTGTTTGCCAGTAAGCTGATTCATTCATCGTTCGATGGGTGATTTCGTTTGTTTCACTGGACCACGAACTCGCGTCAAACTCCACGTCGGGTGGCTGGGCACATGGAGTGTTGTGGACTAGATTTTTGGCGGGCGAGTCTACCTGTGGCACTATGGCACATAGATACAGTACCTACATGTACCTACTAATATACTGGTTATCATGTTTGGTACCATTTTGGTTTCCATATTGCCCACCTATGAGTTCAGAGTATGCGGCTCCGGCTCGATTGGTCAAGGTTGTCAACTTGTCAACTCACGGCAGCGGCATAAGTCTTGACAATTGTTTATCCCTTCCAATTTGATTGCTACTCCCTTACACTGCACCCACATAGCTGGTGTGCATGATGTTTCTGGATGGCTCAGTTCAGACCTGAGGATAGAATTGGATCGACAGAAACATGGGTGTATTCTTTGCCAAAGGCTGGCTGCATCATGTAGTAAAACCTCTAGATTCATCATATATAGATTCGAGATGTCTAAGTGATTCGTAGTAGGAATGAATCATACCGTCGAGAATTCACCCGAACACCGCCATCCCAATGTGAACCAACGTCCGTCCCATAGACAGCTCGAGTTCTGGACTTGATGCTTTGTGTTCATGTTTCCACCAAGAAACAATAGAATGCAATTCAGAACCGTTCAAAAGAAACAAGATCCAGCATTGCTGTTGCCCAGGGAACTTGCTACCCAGAACTCTAAGATGATCGCTGCAACCGCCCGCCCACCCTGGGACTATTTCGCCGGTCAGGTCCCTCCATTGCCGGTCGAGTACACGTACACCGAAACTGTGCTTTGGGTGAAGGACAGGGATGACCGAGCAGCTCAACTGGCTGTAGGTGGCTGTAGGTTCAGATCCCCTTAGGAGGCCATGCTTTCTTCGGCACAACTACATCCTTTTTTCTGGACCACTATCGGCAGGAAAGGGCAGCTTATGTTCGGTGTAATTATACGGTTGGCCAGGTACCTCTCCCAGGAACAATCACACGATCAGACAACATAGCTATTTCATGCTATTTCGCTTTACATGAGTTGGTTTGGATGCGTTCCATGCGGCATCCTTCAATATGTAGAGGCCATTCATCACGAAAGCTAGCCTCAGCTAGCTGGAGTCTCTCTTGCTTTAGCAATGTTTTGGGAGGGGGACCAACCCCCCACTCCACCACCCCGGGGTTCGACTCCCGCCTCCGTCACGGACGCTAGCTTGTTCACCTCCCCAAGTACAATAGGACCTATATTCTACAGGTCAGGTGGACACTGAAGATTGGGAAATGTGTGCTGAAATCTTCACCGCTTGCAGGACTTAATGTTCACTATTCCAGCATTTTCCTTTTGCCAGAACCAGACCAGGGGTCAGTCGAGTTCCATGCCAGATGGGATGGAAGAGATCAACAAGCTGACACTAGTTTGGAAGCTTGCCAGCAATGTGGATCATGTGGTTCATGCTGCATCAAAAACTGGGTCAACCCCCGTCCCAGTCACCCCACTGGTACAGGACAAAGGCCGCCCAAACCCACGATTGACACTGGCGGGTGGAACATGGTGGAACTCGGAGACCGGCGCTGTTCTTGGTGTTGAAGGGGGTCTGAATTTCAGATGACCAGTGTCAGAACACGTCAGAACCAATAAGCAGGGATGTGGAGGAAGCATGATCTAGGGCGGCAATGGGAGATGTATGGGTAATCCTACTCCTACCTCAGACCTAAGACCGCGCTGGATTCCTTGACACCGTCCAAAACAAAACAAATTTCTTAGGCTTCTTAAAGAGGCACGTAGTAGCATGATGGTAGTCGTGGCAGGTTTGCCATGGAGTAGCTATGTTGATCGCAAGTGAAGGCAGTGGGAATCGTTCATCGAAAGACTGACCCACCCCGACACCTCAAGAGCGGGCCTGATTCTCAGGAAGGGCCTTCCGGCAGATGAGCACAAGAAGGCGAGTGGCCGCAGCCGTGGCAAAAGATGCTGTATATGCAGTATATAAATTAGATATATAAATACACAATTATACACAATTATATAAATGAATATATATATATATACATAGTGATATATGTTTATAGTATAGATATAGTATTGCATATCAATATTGCATTATACTTGTAAGTTATGTTCCAATTGCTTTTCACAAGCTGGGGTTGGCTGGAATTGAAGATACTAGGTTACTAGGGAATTCTCATCTTGGACGATTCTCCTGACTCCACTTTGACTCTATCTTTTCACTGTAGCTCCCAGATCAGTGAATCCTACGTTGCCTTTGGAAGAGGCAAACACACACAGCCCAGCTTCTTAGAGACCATTCTTAGCCCTGCGGTTTCATTTGGTCCATCGACACCGTTTCAATCGGTCTCTGGGTGGACAGGTCGAGAACAACGGGGCACGCGAAGACGCTTCAATCAACAACCGATAGCACGTCCTATGAAGATTCAGTGGAGTGTCGCGATCAAAAGCTTTCGAACATGTTCCCAGATGTCATCCTACTAGTTACTGCTTGCAGTCTTGAATGGGATTTGGCTATTTGCAGGAAAGGCCAACAGATCGACGGAGCTAACCTTTTGTCGCGTGAAGTCCATGTTGGGTTTGTCTCAGAATAGCTCGACACCCAAACACAAGCCCTTAGCCCAGAGAACAAACTAATGACTTGATGAGCTCACTGCAGAGGGGTCGAAATGGGTCAATCCGGTCACTCCCGCCAACTTGGATACGCATGGAAGGCCAACAGAGACAACCAACTTCATTTCGCCTGAAGTAGAAAGCAACAAATGGAAGCCCCATAGAACCCACATGTGTGTTTAGTTATATATTATATATTTAGTTGCTGGATGTTGTTTGCTATTTTGTTCATCGTTGATGAAGCTGTTGATCGAACTGTTGATGCAGCCAAACCCAACTGCTCGAGAGGCCAATGGCTTTTGGTACATTCAGAATGCCAAGAGTGATGATCTTCAGCCACCCCTGGCCATACTCCTCAGCAGGTCAGGTGGGGCTGTGGGGCAGCCAGATGGCCTTGACGGGTGCAGGATCTCACAATAAACTGGAGTGTTGATGCTCAGGTTACAGACTGGTAGAGACAAGTAGATGGTGTGGTTGGGATTTGATCTACCACGAGATCACGATTGTTGCATGGTCCACTATGCATGCATCGTCAATATCAATTGTACCATCATCATCACCTTCATTTTGACCACCACCACCACCAGCAGCAGCATCATCATCATCATCATCATCATCATCCTCATCATCCTCGTCATCATCATCATCATCATCATCATCATCATCATCATCATCATCCTGCTGTTGGCCTGTGCTGTGGCCTGTGCTGTGTTCGTGTGCCCCTGTGCTCATGAACTTACTATATCTCACTATCACCATCAGCATCTTCATTATCAATCCCTAGGGATTCAGAAAGTATGTGGATCGCTAGGGATTCCTGATTTCAGTAATTTAACCATCATCAATATCATCAGTAACATCATCACCATTGCCTGGTTCCATCATCTCACCACCATCACCATAATCATTGCCAGCATTATGTCTACTACATTACTACATGTGCCCGCGAGCCCGTGGATTGTGACTGTGCCGGTGAGCCTGGTTGAACAGGCCGGGATGGCCCGACCCTGCAGAGCCTGGCTCAGCCCACTGCTTTGCACCCGTGACTGAGAACATCGGATGAAAGGACTACAAAGGATTGATTGAATGTTTTGTGGGTCTCTGGTTCATTCAGCAATCACTCAGGGTGCAATGAACACGCCCCAGGTCAATGTGCTGCTTTAGCTCCCTCCAACAGTGATGGAAGTGGACTATGTACCTCTTAAGTTACGTCACTACATGTCCATGACTCTTGCAGGGCGTGCAGGGATTATGGCACTTGGGAAACAAGAAAAGACACACGCAATACATCGCAATACCATGCGGAATGAACAAATCAGAGATCAACTGATGAACTCCTGTTTGGCACAGCACAGACAATTAGTCAGACACGGAAACAAAGCTGAGATGTTCCCCCCAGGGGGTTGGTTGTTCTCCGATTCTCCACATTGGATTCTTCGCGCGAGGTCTCCTCCGTGGACCTGGCATGCACCTTGGTGGTCGGGAAGCTGAGCACGGATCGCTCTTTTAGGGTCAGTTTTGGGCGCCACGGCTCAACCATAAGATTGTTACATCCTTGGTGAACATTTTGCCAATGACACAATACAAGGTGAACCTTGCAGCAACGAATTCCTAATCTCACCAAAACTCACTGATCCTTGGAATCCTGTGCTCCACTCTCATCGCGCCACACACGCACGGCATGACACAGGCGGCATGCCGAGGTTGGGTTTGCCGGGCCCCGAGCAGCGTTTTCGCTCGGAGCCCTCGCTGGCTGTGCGTTTGGACTCCGTCAGCCCATCGGAGGACGGGGATCTGAGCAGCTGGCCGGACGGACCGGATCTGATTGATGCGACCGTTGTTTTCCACATGGACCCTGAGCCCCGGCGGCAAATTCGTGGTCGGTCCACGTTCATGTTCATGTATGTTCATGTTCATTTGTGGAGTCAGTTGGTAAATAAACATAAACAATTTCCAAAGCCCTCCAGCGAACGGGATACCAAACTACCTTAAACCAGCAAGTACTGGATCCAGCATCAGGATTCTCCATTTCAAGCGAATTTTTGTCATCCAGGATAACATGTGGCATCACCCGTTGTCTTCGATGCTTTTGGCTTCAAGAAAGCACTTGTGATGTCCCCAAGAGGTGAGTTGGTACTGTGGGGTGTTAGGACCGGTTGCCTCACTGACCAAGTCTCTTCCGTCGGTCGGGGATGGATCATTGATCTTATCAACCGCTTGAGCTTGGGCATCTTCAGACTATCATTATTAGGCTAGCAGAAACAAGTGCCTTACTAGTAGTAACAGGTGCCTTACTAGTAGTAACAAGGACGCTACTAATAACAAGGGCATAACATGAAGACCAAATCCCACATATCGCGCGCTCTGGGCCCAGTGTGTGGGTCACCCAGTGGCCCGACCCTATAGTGTTGCCACCAGACACATTTAACAACACCCGGAAAGACACAGACGACGAGGGAAAGCAAACAATGAGACTGGTAATGACACCACCGAACCTAATCACAACGGAGACTGCATCATCTTGTGCCCGGCCAGTCCAATGACAAGCGTGGCAATAGAATGCAAACAATGTCACAGACAGCGCACAATGACACACGACCACAACACCAAACAGAACCACAACGCCCGCCAGTGGCCCGACCCAGGGCAAACACTGCAATCATAGCCCCACACACAACACCTGACAACACACAAAGACAAATGCCACAACAGACGGTAAGCAATGACATGCAATGACACATACAACAGCAACACCAGACGACAGCAGACAACAAGAAATGACATACACACACACGGTGGGCGAGGAATCCCCCGCCACGAAAAGCCTGAAACAGTTTTTTGTCCTACCAGTGTACCTGGGCGGGTGGGAGCAGCTCGAAGTCAATTCTGCTTCAGCGATGCCCTTTGTTACTAGTAGCGTTCTTGTTCCTAGTAGCAAGGCCAGGAGCCCCTAGTAGCATCCTTGTTCCTAGTAGTAAGGCCAGGAGCCCCTAGTAGCATCGTTGTTCCGAGTAGTAAGGCCAGGAGCCCCTAGTAGCGTCCTTGTTCCTAGTAGTAAGGCCAGGAGCCCCGAGTAGCATCCTTGTTCCTAGTAGTAAGGCCAGGAGCCCCTAGTAGCATCCTTGTTCCTAGTAGTAAGGCCAGGAGCCCCTAGTAGCATCCTTGTTCCTAGTAGTAAGGCCAGGAGCCCCTAGTAGCGTCCTTGTTCCTAGTAGTAAGGCCAGGAGCCCCTAGTAGCGTCCTTGTTCCTAGTACTAAGGCCAGGAGCCCCTAGTAGCATCCTTCATCCTTGTTCCTAGGAGTAAGGCCAGGAGCCCCTAGTAGCATCGTTGTTCCTAGTAGCAAGGCCAGGAGCCCCTAGTAGTAAGGCCAGGAGCCCCTAGTAGCGTCCTTGTTCCTAGTAGTATGGCCAGGAGCCCCATAGTAGCATCCTTGTTCCTAGTAGTAAGGCCAGGAGCCCCTAGTAGCGTGTTTGTTCCTAGTAGTAAGGCCAGGAGCCCCTAGTAGCATCCTTGTTCCTAGTAGTAAGGGCAGGAGCCCCTAGTAGCGTCCTTGTTCCTAGTAGTAAGGCCAGGAGCCCCTAGTAGCATCCTTGTTCCTAGTAGTAAGGCCAGCCGCCACTAGTAGCATCCTTGTTTCTAGTAGCGATGCCAGGAGCCCCTAGTAGCGTCCGATCGCTCCGCTTGCAGCTTGGCCATGTGTGGATCCCTTGTGGACCTCCTCGGCGGTGATTGGCATGCTCACCTCGGCAGGAAGCCAACCTTCGCAAGAGCCTGTCGACGGTTGAGCGGCCAGAGAAGCTTCTGGAGGCGGAGAAATGGGACAATCGACCAAGGTCGCAACAGTTGACCATCCACAATTCCATGGTCATGTGAGTCATGTGCATCTGGACATTGTCTGAGGGAAACACCTGAGTTTGGCAGGCCCTTTCAACAGGACATGGTACCAGGGAATGGACATCGGACCACACGGAAACACTGAGTCGGTCGGATCTACCTGAGTTGCACGCCCGAATGCTGGCGCGGTGCAAACGGATGCAAACGGTGTTTCATGGATATTTAAGGCTCAAAATTTTGATTTCTGCTCTTCGAACTGAATGGTCTGAATTCATTGGATGAATTAGAATCATTTTTAGCACAACAAGTTGATAGTTGCTAAGTAATGAAGCACATTAACTGCTCAGTATGCAACTTGTTGTGCAGTGAATCCAAGAAGGTTTGAATTTGTTTGAATATCACCCTGCCTACCATCCCTTCGGTCTTCGGTGGGATGCTCCAGGTTTCCCGAGAGGCACCACTGGACGTTGAACAGAGAAATCGGACACCCTGGCTCCTTTTGTCCATCCAGGTTTTAAAAGACAACACTCAAACAACATTGTCTTCGACCAGTTGTTGTCACCTTAGGGTTTCAAAGAACAACACTCAAACCTTATAGGGTTTTAAACACCCTAACCCCTAAACGACATGACTCCTAAACGACGTCTTCGACCAATGCCAGCATAGCCATCAGACTTCACCCCATCAGCCGCCCAGTCATACTGACAGGTGACTGAGTCACTGGCTGCCCAGAAGCTTCTGCGCCGGGCAGAGGAGGCACTCGGGGCAAAATCACTGGTCTCAACAAAGCCGGGTTCGAGAACCGACAACCATAGATTATCATAGTATTAAAACAGAAAACCTGCATGGCTGAATGTGGGGGAGGCAGTCGGAATTTCCTCTAGATTTGGGGATTAGATGCTTTGACTTTGTGCAAACACTGTGGTGAGTGACATATCACTTGAATAGACCCGGGGTTAGTTTACGTGGCCCGGTTTGCAATGCCTACAACCTTTGAACTCATTTCAATCATCCAGAAACACTTACTGAGTAAAGAGCGGGTTTGCCACATCTCAAAGACCCATAGTTTGGAAGGACGCGCTCTTTTTTGTGGACAGGGGAAGATCAGAAATCCTTTATAGATTTCCTCTTCGTTAGTTGCTTGCAGGGACATGCAAACTGGGGACAGTGAACATGTCAGCATCCTCCTTATGTCATACAGCCCATCGCAACCCCGCCTGTAGTAAAACAATGTAAAACAGATATAACCAATCGCCACAAAAGTTGGTCCATTTGTTTATCCTACAGAACATGGGAAATTTTGGGGTTCGTTTTTGTGTTTCGATTTAGGCAAGATGCGTTTCAATAGCCACGACCCTGGTGGTTGCTTCCAGGCCAAGGCAGCTGAGAAAGTGCAATGCTTCAGGCCTGTGAGAGCAAAGCCAAACTGCTCCAGGTGAATATACCCATTGGATCCCAGTCGGAACAGGGTTTCTAGGTCTATGGTTAGTCTTTAGAACCACTGATCACCATATAGTCTATAGTGGTAACTGGATCCACTGGGATAGGTTTGATCATTGATCAAATAATGTCCAAGCATTCCACGCATGCACCCCATGTAAATACCCATAAATGCTCAATGTAGGTCAATATTCCAGACACGGAGTCTTGGGATAGATACTGCACTCCAACCCGCAGAATCAACAAATACACTTAAATCGCTGAATGTGGTGTTCAGACCATATTCTGCAATGTGGCGGTCGGGTGACTCTTCGTCCGAACACTTTTCTAAATGGTCGACCGTTAATGGTTCATGTCCGACTGGCTGAGGTTGGTGGATGTTGGTGGTTCCAAATACTCCAATGTTATTTCTTTTGTTGCCAGGGATGATGCTTCGTTCCAATGACTGGTGTCAAGGTATTATGGTATCAACAGTAGATGTATTACAGTATACGACATGTTGTTGTTCCTGTTTCTTAGAAGCTAGCACGAAGACTTGTGGTTTACTATCCCACCATGAAGCTCATGATGGAAGATAATTTCTTGTGATACACGTGATTATTTTTGGAAACAGCGCCTAGCCTCTTAAAAGGAAAAAGGACACAAGCCTCAAGTGTTAAAGCATGTGTGAAGCACGGATATCCAGGCAAGGAATCAAACATCTCTCCTGGCCAACCTTCATACTGGCCATCTCCTGTGAAACTTTACTTGACCATCCCTTTGGGGCTGAGCAAGACATCCCTCCGTAGGCGAGAGGAAGAGCAAAGCGACTGGCAGCAGGACGATGGAGAAGGGGGGTAGTTGTTCAGAAACGGATGCTTACACACTTCAACCAACCGGGTTGGTTGTAGAGTGGATCGACTGATTTGGTGAGTTTATTCAACGAGAAGGATTATAATATAGAGAGAGGTTCCTAGGAATTTGGCCTCCAAATAGCTTGAGTTGCGGAGGGTAAAAAGATGTTCAGATTGTCAACTCACCTCGAACTGCTTGACCGCTTCCATTGGAAGCTTCCAGGGATCTAGAAAAGACTGGGTGACAAAGTGGTTGTCAACATGAAGGACCGGAAGTCTCGTTCCCAGCCCTTCCGGCTTTTGTTGAAACCGCAGCGATCTGTTTTTGTGTGTCTTTTGAGGAGTGCGGCTCAAGCGAGCCCACTTGTGGGACTAAGAAAGAACGATTGGAAGATGAAGGTTACAATTACAAGGTGGAGTGGTATGGGGGGTTGACCTTATCTGTGCAAAACCACTGGAAGATCCAAAGGCTGCAATCGGCACGACGCGGCACGACGACACGATCAGATCGTGTCAAGGCTGCTGCGATCTTCGATGCCACGGCTGCCCAGCTGCCGGGCAGCCGAGGCGGAGAGGTACTGAGAGTCTTCCGGGAAATCAGACGAACAGAGACCTGACCGGACTATGGGGATCCTATGGGGTCCAACTAAGACCGTCAGGCTGGAAAACTGGAGGAATTCACTTCAAAGGTCCAAGGTTGTCCAACTGCTTGTCTCTGAGTAATGTACCACCCCGTCACCACCTGCTCGATGTAAGACTTAGAAGAATTGTCTTGCTGAGCCACAGACGACGAAGGAAGAGATGTGCTCTTGGCAGCACACTTTGTTGCACAAAGGACACATATGATCAACATGCACTTCGTCATGCAAGCATCTTTTTGGTCAAGTTGCTCCAAAGCTCCATGGAATGATGATGCTTCCAACTCGGAGAAGCAGTACGTAGAGTTCATAGATAAGTCGAAGAGAAATCAGAGCATTTGTCTCAAAATATACAGTACATGTACATTAAATACAACCGTACCTATACTATATATATATATTGTATATTGTATACCCAGTCAGTGGACAACCATTCAACCGTTTTGGGGGACACTGGGGGACACCGGGACACTAAAACAAGAGCAGGTGGAGTTCGTTTGGGAGACACAAACTCCTTGCGGCCATTGGGATCCAACCAGCTCGGGAGTCAGAGGATGTTCGCCTGATTTCGGCCTCGGGAGATTCCGAGGGTTTTCAAACAAAAAGCCACTAGGAACCATGAGGTTTTCAGGACCAGGCGGGTTTGGGAAGTTCCATAGAGTAGTTCCATTTTTTTGTTCCACTGAAAGAATTGGCATATGTTGTACAGAGAATGCTGGATGTCTTTGCTTTCTCTTTGCCTGCGGTCCCGGGCCACTGAGCCGCTTTGCCCACGAGATGTCTACAACTCGTTTGCTTTCCGCGTTGATTTGTTCTGCCTTGCTTTGCTTTAAAACCAGCTGTCACATCACATGCTTAAATTGGATGAGCAAGCCATAGCAAGCCAAACAGTTTATAAGCGGGCAGCTTGCAGTGCAAAGTTTACTTAATTCAAGGCATTATTTTAATTGTCAACATCATGAATCAATGTCCTTGATTCACCTGTTCACCCAACGTGATTGCTTCTCAGTGGTTTCAGAGTAGATGGCACAATCCCCAAGGGGTGGTTTATATGGGCCTCCATCCAAAAGACATCTAGGGGTTGTGCCACTTGCTTTGAAACCGCTGTGTTTTGACAGAATTCACCGTTGCACGCCTAGGTGCCAGATCTTGCAGGACCGGAGCAGGTCGGTCCTGGCGCAGAGGTGGCGAACTTGCTGTTGATGCCAATTGGATGAGAAATCAGTATCAGCAGGGGCTCAACATTTGGGTAAGGCAGTAGAGAGGTGTAAATTTGTTCCTGTCTGAATGTGAACTGAAACCGGCCTTAACCCCATGCACTAGGAGCAAGGATGCTACTAGTAGCTCCTGGCCTTACTACTAGTAACAAGGGCTAGCTATTTGCTACTAGTAGTAATGCCCTTGTTACTAGTAGCTCTTAGTAGCAAGGACGCTACGAACGTAGCTCCCAGTCCCCAGGAGCTTCAGGGCGCGGATGCCGCCCTCCGCCGGCGCTTGTTGACCAAGAAGCGACGTGCCTTGGCGTCCCGGACGACCGCCCCACCGGTCCAGGGCGGCGCAGCAGCTCTTGTCACCGAAAGCATCCCAAAGCAAGTTCTTGGTGTTGAGCTGTTGACCCCCACGAAGTCGTTCGCCCTTCATCCTTTAGGTGATACGGTATTTATTCCACCGGATTCTGTACAAACCACATTAAATATACTGTACTAATTTCTGTCCAGGTCAGGTTTAGAACTTGGGTAGTGCGAGTCTTGTTCCAGTCGGCGCCAAGTTCAGAGGCAAACGGAAGGGTAGTGCACAGAAAGGGTTTTGCAAAACCTATTCTACTAACATCGTGGAAGGCGCGGGACATTCGTAGAACCCAAGGCTATTCGTGGACAGTTCGTGGAATGGTGGGCCAGTAGCAGAACTGACTGCAACGAAATCCCAGAAACCTTCGCAGAGCTTTGTGGAAGGTATTTTTGATGCACTAACTTCGTACAAGCGATTTTTGCTGACCCCCTTTCTCCACACACCCTCCATTTAGCCTTCACAAGTGCTTCTCTTCCATGCCCCATCATGCCCCCAGTGGCTTGTGTGCACTGCAGGCTTAGAGAGTGATGAAGAATTCATCGCTGCTGTGAAGCGTTTGGAGTGAATCAAGGCCGGTGAGGGGTGCCGAGTAACACCCAGGAGCTTTGAAGGATTCCCCAGCCCTCCAAAGTGGAATATTTTGAGGGTTCCACATGGTTCTACTGTGTTCTTGATGGATGATTGCACTCTGAAAAAACAACACCCGACAGGCACCATGGTTGCAAGATGATTGCAAAGGGATGTTCCATCCTGTCCTCGTGGATGGCCAGGTACACAAGTGACAAGTGATTTGAGGGTCATTCTTTATAGCCATGGATGGCTGCGTGTTGTTAATTTCTTACCTTGGTTTTATGACGGTGTGTTCTTTATCCTTTCTCCCACAGCATGGCTTGGGACTTGTAACCTCATCGTTTCTTGTCCAGGAGATTGCTCGTGGGGGGGGTCCTCAGCAGGCAGCACCGCGCATGCCCGGACGATGGGGGATATCTCAAGCCGACGACCGAACATCATGAGTTGCGTGACATTTCCACGACGTGTCGAAACAAGTCCTTCAACTATACCCTGAAGAAGAGACTCTATCATCAGCTACTTGCTGCAACTCATTTCCTTGGTACATGGCCTTTGGCAGCGGAAGCTACAACATTGCAGTTTCTGGGCAAGAAGCCACACTAGCATCATTGCATGTCAAATGGTTTAATAATTTTATATATGTTTAAATAAAGTTTGGAATCAATCCCCACGAGCACACAGGACCCCCAAACATAGAGGAATGTCCAGGGGTTCTCCGGTCAAGGGGCACAGGATTCAATTCCGGACGGGATATGGAATGAATATGTAATGATGAATATGGATGGATTTGGCATTCGAATAGTTCCGTTTTCTTCCTTTGGGAGTAAGCAAAGCAGAACGCCAAGCTACCGGCATGCTGGGTGACATATGGTGACATGGTGACGTGATGCTGCTGGTTGTGGCTTGGCGATTATCCACCGATGCCCACGTAGAGGTCGGCTTCAGGGAAAGGTCTGCTTGGAAACCAGACTTGAAGGACTGGAAGGTAAGTCGCGCTGTTAGACGGCAAATCTTGGCCACAATCCCCTGCCTTGTCGATGTTGCCACTCTAGTTCTTCACTACTCTGATTTCCCCATTCGTGACCACCAACGCAACTGCCACGAACAGGGGTGGGAAGAGGACTGGACTTGCTATCCCATGAGCCATGAGTGTAGGACATGTTTTCGGTTGGGATAACGAACACAACGCTGTTCTGAACTTGCGTGAGTCTTCGGCGTCGGTGATGGCTGTTCAGGTCCCGTGTGGTCGCGCTGGACCGAGACCGCTGGACCGCTGGACCGAGACCGTGTGTCGCACGCGGAGAAAAAAGACCGAGGCAGTTGCACGGTGGGACGTGAGGTACCCGACGGTCGAACGTGGAGGTGGAGGTGACGGGGTGACAGTCACCCAATGATGACCGACCCCTACTGTAGGTCATCCCCGGTTTGACCATCGTTCGATGTTCAATGTTTTGAAGGAAATGAGCTAAGTTGGAGGAATTGGGACCGGGAAGATGACCAGTTCAGAGTTGTCAAAGATTTTCAAACTTGTTTGTGCCAGAATGTTGAACCTGTCAACTGTGTGTTTATGGGGTTGTTTCGGTGCCGGACAAACTGGCCAGTTTTGTACAGAACAACCACCGGGGACAATCACCTTTCAAGGTCCTGGTTCTGGTATATAAGTGATGAGTCCACTGGGTTGTGGAGCTGATTGCTTTCTTCAGTGGGTTCTCCGAACAGAGCCACAGAGCTGTCATGTCATTTACTGCATATAACTTGGCTCGTTGATGCTGTTGCTGTCTCATCAAGCTTTCGCAGATGGTGTGCATGTGCCATGCAGTTTAGTCCACCCAGTCAAAGCAATAGATTGACAGAAAGATTAATTCCTTGATATTCCTTGAACACTACCAGCAGCTTCCAGAACATCTAAAACTATGTTGAGTTGTTAAGGAAAAAACACATTTACCGTACCTTTGTTGTTTACATGACAACACTAGTGTTATACAATATTATATATCATCAGGCCTCGCCTCGGCTAGGAAGATCCGCAGTTGGATCGTTTGCGTTCCCAAACATACTTATCATCTCTAGAGCCCGGGTATTTAGTGCCAGGAGTACTGTAGAAGGTGTGTTGAGATCATTGTTTTGTGTTATTTCGATTTATTTTTTTCAATTATATAGACTTTCTTAAGACGGAAGTTGCCGAAAAACTAAAAAACATGCAACTCTTGTTGAGCAACAAGAGCGCAAAGCCTGTACCTCGCTAAGCCTGGTCCAGTCTGGTCCATGGTCCTCGATGTCCTCCGGCTCCGCTCCACCGGTTCCTGCACAGGCAGGATCGTTGCCGCCGAAGCTGGACAGGACTAGAACATGGCCCCAGGCTCCAACAACTGAACCAAGACAGCCCTTAGGTTGGTGGCCATCCCTTCTAGGTTGGAGGCCATCACTGTTAGGTTGGAGGCCATGGCTATAATATAGATTTTTCAGGTACAAAGTCTTGCGAACATAACGAACAATTGCAGAGTCCAGTATCACTGGGGTTAAGGTTCTGGGGCCTGTAGTTTTCTCAGATGAAGAAGTTGAGATGGACAGAGTGGGGAAGGACTTTGGACACACCCTCACTCACAAACTAACACGAACTTGACAGTTGACCTGAAAGAAGACGACTCGTTTTCCCTGCAACAAGGTCCGGTCGATTTGTTTGTCAGTTTGTGTTTGTTTGTGAACTCAACGTTTGCAAGGATGTATTCTGCAGGGTTAGAAGATGTTAGAAGATAGGTTTGTTTTATTAGTGGGGCTCCACATTTCGGTCAGCCCCTGCAGTTGCTGCTGCTGGATTTGCAGTCTGACAACCCTCGGAAGCGCATGGAGGCGCCGTATGGAAACGACGGTGGAAATCCAATCTGGGAAGAAGAGGATTGGGATGCACCAAACATTGGAACACATTGGAACATATTGGAACTTTGGGATATTATAGGAGGATATGTTACAACATCAGATGGTGCCGGATTTTGTCTACCAAGTATTGCAATTGCTTGTCTACCGGTATTTCTGACTTTTGTGAGAAGAGAGTCGAGAGTATTGTTGCGTTGGGGGCTCAAGAGAGTTGCAATCATTCATATACGTAAGACTCAAGAAAACAGAAGATGTACTGAGCCCGATCGCAATGCACTGAGCCCGATCGGAGCCCGATCCGCAACATCGGCAGAGACGGGTATTATTATTATCAGATATGCAACCATGGCTTGTTTGGGTATCAAAAGCTAGGGAGTATATCCTCCCGAGAATTCGCGTTGCGTCTTCATCATTTGGGGGTCAATACAGGAATAATTGATATATATATATATATAAGAATTGTATACAATGAATAATATATATATATATATTTTTTAATATTAATATATATTATTATATATGTAACATATATGTATACTGTATAATGTCTATCAGATTTTCATCACTCGAGATGTAGCCGAGATTGTCCAGGTGCTGTTGCCTTAAAGGAACAGGGGGCAATGAAGACATATGAAGACCAGTGTGTGGTTTCCTTTTCAGGGTGTGTGTGTGTGTGTTTATCTTCAAGGTCCACGTGGGTGTAGTGACCAAAAGTGTCTCATGAACCATTTCCATTGCTTCGGGACCACTTTGAATAAGGGCGGATAAGCTTTTTGAAAGGACAGTTTGACCACGAGACTTGGTTGCCGGTGACTCCCCGAACAAAAATACTGATAACCTGAGGACCTGATGTCATTTCGTTTCCAGACGCAAGGAGTGTCCACCGTCTCAGGCGGGCTTGGCTGTGGCCAAGCAGGCGGCAATCGGCCTCCGGCACCAGGCGCGAGGACCCGCGCCTTGGACGACGAGGCGACGAGGACGTGGTGTGCAGAGCCTGAGAATAGATGTACCAGGAAATCCCTCTGATAGGCACAACTTCGTGATAGGCAAGATGCCGTAGATTCACGAGTCCAAGGACCATTCCTTTGGGCCACAGGTCTCCCTGCGCAGTCCAAAGACATCCGAAATCTTGGGTGGACCACCTTCCCCATTTTTGGGTGTCCAAAGAATCATCTTTCAACTGAGGCCATCCACCTCGTAAATGTGTGCGGTTGAGGACCTTTTCCTGACCGGGCTTTTGGGATCGCAACGAATGGGATTGCTAATTGCACTATTGATGTAAATCCTTTTTATCATGAGTTATATGCTATTAATTAATATGCAAAACTTAGATTAGAATATGATGTATATATATATAATAGTATATATTGTAATATATACTTTGATTTCATCCAGTATCAACGACAAAACATTATAACTATCGGGACGTTTGGCTGTGGAACATGTGAATCATCTCAATGGATGACATGGTTTTAACCTGGACACAGAATTCTTAGCAAGCGGCTTGACGGTGAACGGAACTGGCTCGGGGCTCCCAGCAGTGAACCAGGATTTGATCGCAAGATTCCGCTTGGAACTCCCTGGCAAACAGGCTTTTTTTTAATAGCGACTTTGCTTGGGACTTGGAACTATTCCCAGTGCGCTCATCTGGAGTTCGATGGCACTTTGGAGTTGTTCAGCTCGCCTTGGTGTCTTGTGAGATCTGCAGGTGAAGAAGGATTGTGCTACTAGGAACAAGAAGCTACTAGGAACTGCCATCTCCCAGGTGAAGGACTCATCTCCCATCTCTGGGAGACTCCTCACGTCCCACCAACGACCGCTCCTTGCGACCGCTCCCTGCGGAGGTGAATTTGGTGGATGCTGGTCTGGTGGAGCCGCTCGTGCGACAACTGAAGGCCCAGACCGGTCGATCCCGTGGGCAGTCCGTGGACATCGGGAGGCCTATTTTTAGGGGGGGCACGGGATATCTCACGAAGAACCTGAGGATTCCATCATGATCCATCATGTATATTTATAACTAGTTATATATATATATATTATGTGATTTCTCACCATCCTCATGACAAAATATGAGATCCCTGACCGTCCGGGACCTATCCCAGATAGGTCTTTTGACCAACCCTCAGACCTATTGCGGTTTTAGTATCCATTTTGGGATGTAGCACATTCTGCCTGTGTAGCTAAGGAAACCTTCATGAGGTAAGTCTGTCTCAAATGAATGCTGCTTGGAAAGCCTTTCAAGAGAAGCTAACAGTGCACATCTTGGAAGACAAAGGTCGTGAACAAACCCGGACATGTGGAAAGACCTACTAAAGAAGGTGTGGAAAGACCCCCAAAAAAGAGGGGAAAGACCCAACGAAGTCGTGGACAACCTGAGCCAAACTCAAAGTATACAACAGCGATGAATAAGCCGGACAGCAACGCAAACTAAGCGACCAATGGTGATTTGTCGCTGGGCCTAAAGGCCTTTAGCGGATAGACTCTTGGAAGGCTAGGGATATACCGTGTCAGGGATGGTGATCTGAAACGATCTGACACGTACCAGGTCCAGTGCCAGGCTGTCCACCCCAATTCGGAAGCCTCAGGGCCACATGAAATCGGCGGATCGCTGCGTGTGGCCTGGCTTTCCCACCCTGTGGCGGCCACCGAAACCCAGCGACCTCCAGGAGGGCACCGGCGATGAACGCGTCGCGGTGGCCACGGCCTTGTCGCGCCTCGCGCGGCGGAACCCCACTGGGCAGCTGGCGACTCGGTGGGAGTCGACCCACTTTGTGAGACTTCGAGTGAAGCCGTCTGAAGCATCTCCAACAAAGCACCAAACCTTCGAGGGGGAATGTGGATCTGTAGCAGCTTGTAGCACATAGAAGGTGAGTTTTGTCTTATAGTCTCTCAGAGGGGAAACTGCATCCGAAGCCATAAATGTGCATCTCAGTCCATGTTTGTTGAACGTTGTTGTTCTTTGGGGAACATCAGTTCACATTGGGATCGTCCTGCGAGGTCGAGCGCAGTCACACCCTAATACGATATATAGTTATATAGTTTATATTCCCTATGGATCCACATACCTTCTCAGAAGCTAATTGGACCCTCCAAGCCTACATAAATAGTCTCCAATCACCTTCTCAGAAGGTATGTGGATCCATAGGGATTAATGTTTGTGATGTAATTGTGTGTGTGTGTGTTTGTTGTGCGCATCTTGGAGGACCGGCAAAACCAAAGAAAACGATCAAAAACCTGTTGCAGGGGAAGATTGGGCGAATGGATTCAACAGACGTCCGACATGTTGGGTACATTCTTTGTGCGCTGCTTTGGCGGGGGGAGCATCATTTAACACGTGGAGAAACAGGTGACAAATGGAGTTCTTGACGAGACCTGGACGGTCTGATGAACTTGTTGAAAAGCACCTGTGAGACAAGTCATTTGCTGTGTTTGTCCCCTTGTTGAAGCACCAGATTTGCTGCTCAACTGTCATGCATGTTTGATGTTCCTAAACGCTTGGTTGTAATATACCATACCTCTTCCAAGTCGGCCCCACTTTTCGGGGTGACGATGACAGCAGCAGCAGCAACAGCCACAGCAATACCGCAACCAAAACCACAGCCACGGCAACAACAACAAACACACACACACACACTAGTAACAACAAGCTACTAGACCAGGGCCCCCTGGCCTTACTACTAGGACGCTACTAGGGGCTCCTGGCATCGCTACTAGGAGCATTCGTACTACTAGTAACTATCAAAGTACACACTGACAGGCATTGGATTTCAAAGGGAGACACACGGCGCATCGTCCAGCACCAAGTCCCCACCAGGAGCGTTTCTCTCCGCAACCGATCTGAGGAGATCGTGGTGGCCGGTGCGGTCACACCGTTGCGGAAGCAGCTGTTGGCCGCTACGGTGAGACCCGCGAACGGGTGCGGCGAGTTGTGTTTTCCTCTACGGTGTCAGGTGGCAGGAGTGGGTCGAAAGCTCCTAGTAGTAAGAATGCTCCTAGTAGCTTCTTGTTACTAGTAGCGATGCCAGGAGCCCCTATAGTAGCGTCCTTGGCAGGAGTGGGTCGAAAGCTTTATAAGAAATATATATATATAATATACTGTAGAAGTTCCGTGCCTGGGTAGCTCCCCAAAAGCACTGTTAGCTTGGGAGGCATGGTGGTCCACTTATGTCCACTTTCTGACATGCCTGGTAGTCAAGCAGCCTTCCGGTTTTGATGCACTGCCAGTCAGTTTGGACCCGGATTTATATACTGTGAAATCATACTTCAACACTGGACATGCGTGGGTCTGTATCGTTCTCAAGAAAGACAATGATCAATGATGCAAGTTGTTTTGACTACCGGGAAGGTTTCTAATATGTTTCCAATTGTTTAAATCAATTGTTCTGACAGCTAGGAACGACCCATTTTGACAACGAACGTCCAACGAACAGATGGCAACGTGATGGAACTATGTATTGGAACATGAGGATTCATCGTCCCACATTGACAGCTCTTTAAGTGTTCATGTGGAAAAGGAACGGCGATGTCAGCTCTGTGAGTGAGGGCTTTGCACCTTCCACAGGAAGGAGTTAAAAAACAAAAAATGTTGAAAACTAAGTGGTCGATCTGTGCCAGTGCTCAAGCTGCGCAGCTTCTCCACGCGCGCACGACCCAACGCCCCCAGGCCATCCAGCGGGTGGCTGCTGCTGTGTGCATCAGCCGAAGCTTGGGCCAAGTTCTTTATGATTTTTATGAACAAAAGCTATTTCACCATGACTAGGCCAGATTTCATTATATTTGGGCCACAGACTAGTTGATTAACACCAGGAAACAATTCTTTCCCATGTGCACCCCATGTGCGGTCTTTTTCCAGCACTTCCCTAAGTGTCCTCGCTTTGAAGTCTGTGATGCCTTTGAAGGCTGCGATCGCATGAAAGATCAACCCAACGCACACCCTAACATATTTGTAAGAAACCTATCAAAGCTACTAGCTATATATCTGTTCGTGATTTTTTTCTTTGGATGGCATCAAATTGAATCATGCCAATCAAACCCCTACATTGGGCCATCGGCCCAATGCAAATCAAAATTCAAAGAGCAAAGCGACATTGCCAGCCACACTCAAGCATTGTGTAAAAACATCAGGTTCTAAACGATGATTTATTTTAAAGGTCAGAGTCATCAGGTTGGCCTCGCCTCTAACTCTACTCTTTCTTGAAGCATTGCGTCTCTAAGCCTCTAAGCCCATGTTTAGAGCAAACGGAGGCATTCATTTTCACCAAGCGTGACCTCCTTTGATAGGAAATAGAGGGGTTTGCCTTGGCTGAATAATGAAACTCAATGTTCTTTTCCAGGTAAAAAAACGGAGGAAACTATTCCTTAGTTTAATAGTGAGAAGTTAGTGTATGTTCGACAAGGTGCGTGGAGCCACTTCCTAAGTCAACATCAGGCAACAATTAATGTGTGTCCATTGCATCCAGTAAAATAAATTGTACCACACAAAGGACATCAACAATTCTTGAGTCCAGGTTGCCTTCTCCGTCTCTGATACTGTCACCCTCCAAATGGTATCAATGGTTCTGCTTGATCTCAGGACCTGAAGCTTGACAAACTCCTTGAACACTCAAACACACGCAAAAAAACAGAAACACCTCCAACTCTTCAAGCCCAATCTGTGAGTAAGTATGGCTTTCGGCTGAGAAAGATCAACTGAAAAAGCGGAAGCCACATTGCTGTATTTGTAGTTGCCTTGCTGCCAACCATACTGAAAGTAAACCTTTGTTTTCTTGGGTGAGATGGAGTACCCTCCGACTCCATGATCTCCATCAGCCTGCTCGCCATGACCATCCTCCGAGGCCTGTCCCTCTTGACGGATGCACTCATGATTGTTGATCGTATACTCTAAACCGTTCTCTTCAAACTCTTCCATGACTTCTTTCCATGTTGTTGGCTCTGAGTCTCTCCCTTGTTTTCCTCCGTCTTCAAACACCTCCAACACAACCATGTCCTCATCGGAAGTCCACTCAACGCTGACGACATTCGTCATGGAATCACCTGCACAAGGCAGCAAGGTGTATAAACAAAATTGTCTGAGGTTTGTTAGGTTTGTCATCCGACATCCTTGCACATCTTTGTCAGTACATGTACCGGTTGGCATGTTGTCACAAAAGTACATATCTTTCAAAGTCATTTTTTCACTGACTGGCTCTTGCCCGTTCCCGAGAGGCGGAGCTGGAAAGTGTACCTGAAAGGTAGTCCTGAAAGGTATTCCTCAGGAATCTAATTATGATTCAATCATCAAGTCCGGGCTTCCAAAAAAACCTCCAGACGTCACAACATCGTGCTATCACACTGGAACTTTGCACTCTTGCAAGCTAGGAAATGAATCAGTCACAAACAAAAACTAGTTTAGCAACCTTCCTCTTGGTCATCAAAGATTGCTTGCTTTGGGATCAAATCTGTCATCCTACGACGTCTCAACTGAACTACATCGAGCTTGCTGGCCGCATGGAGTCGCACGGGGCTCCCCTTCCACCTGAGATGACAAGACAAAGACGAAACAGTGAACAGTCTTGCAGAGAAAGGAAGTTGGCTGAGGTTCCAGCATCTCAAGAGCCATCTTGCGGATCTCGGTCTTGCTCTTCTCAGGATGTGCCTCTCTGAGCACAGCTTTCTGCTCCTCCACAAACTTGAACATGGCCTGCTGAAGCCCGTTCGATGCGAGGGGGACCGCATCGGGATCTGATTTCTCAGACTTGTCAGCAGCTCTCTTTCGCCCTTGCTTGGCCTCGGGAACTGGAGGATTTCCAGCCCCATTGGCGTCCTCCTCCTTGGCAGCCTTCGGCTTCTTGGTGGATCTCGACTTCTTCTCTGCCGATGGCTCGGGGGCCATGCTCTCAATGCTCTCTTTGACATCCCTCTGCCTCTTGGCGCGTGTCGAACGCTTTGCTGCAGGTGGCTTGGCGGCATCCTCTTTGTCGCCTGACGCTGCAGTCGCTTGAACATGCTCATTGCCATCGCCCTTGGTGGCTGAATCAGACTTTGCTTTTCCTGTCTTCTTGGGCTCCGTTGATTTGTCAGCTTTCTTTTGCCTCCTCTTGGGCTCTGACTCACAAGCATCATTCGAACCAGCTGCTGGAACTGACAAACCCCTCTTTGTGGATTTGGCTCTAGATTCAGGATCTTTGTTTTTTGCCCTCGAACCAGCATCCACTGAAGAGTCTTCAATGTGTCCAAGCCTTCTGAGGTTGGCTCGCACAGCCTCCCTGCATGTTAGTGAAGTGCCTTTGTTGGCATTCTCAAGCTTCTGGTTGTCCTTTCGCTGGGCACGTTCTGGTGCCGGAACCAGAACCCTGGGCCTGTTCTTCAATTCCTCCATATAGGCCACATCGTCCACAAATTTCCTTCCTCTCACACCCTTGTCGATTTTCCTTTGATCCCTCTGGTCCCCCTGGTTTTCCTGGTCCTTCAAATACTTGTCATTGTCACTCAAGCCTGCTGGCTCTCTTGCCATGTCGTTGGACTTTGCCTGAACCGCTGCCTTGGTCTTCTCAGGCTTGGTCTCAACTGTTTGTTCCTTAGGTGTCTCGTTCTTGGACTTCACGCCCTTGGTCTCAATGCTTTTCTTGTGTTCTTCGTCTGGTCTCATGGCACTGGACTGGCTTTTCTTGGCCTGTGGTTCCTCTTTCTTGCCCTTCTCCTGACAAACGAACGTATCAACACAGTGCCAAACAGAGGATGAAGCAATACTTGTTGAGAGTCAAAGAGCTGTCAGATCTTGAAAAAATGCCTGAGATGGTGCACACCCAAAAGAATATGTTTGTGGGTTTTAGGGCCTCGCCTGTGGTTCCTCAGCTTTGCTTATTGTCTTTCCTGAACTCTTCAACTTCTCAGCTGTTCTAGCTGCCTCCATGGCCAACTGAGCAAGGCCATCAGGATCCTGACTTGCAGCACCGTCACACGGTGATGCGTCCGTCTTGTTTGAAGCAGCTTCAAGTGCGGCTTGTGGGTTGGATACTTCTGTTGACTCCCTCCTGTTGGGAAGAACCTTAGACTTAAAGAAATGATGGCGGCATAGTATAGTGAGCAAAGAGGTGTGGTACTAGTAGCGGACGGATGGAGGTGTAAACTAAGCCCAAGGCCTGAGGTCTGACGACTGGTGGTGATGGCGTCAATGTTGCAGACGGAGATTCTTGCAAGAAACGCTCAAGGTCCTGTGGAACTCTGAGACTAGTGAGTGGACAAAGGCAATCCAGCATAAAAAAAGACACATCACGCTTTGTTATCGCAGCTCCACTGGTCTCAAATGTTTTGGAGAGAATAGGAGTCGAAAAATAAAACAATCTGTTTGACCCTCAGTGCATGCACAAAGGTCCTCATCCATCCCCATCTGCGCAAGTCTGTTCGCAAAGTCTCCAAGCATCGTCAAACTTCTCAAGGAAGTTTCAAGCAACACAGAAACAATTGAAGGACAAAGGTGAATCGTTCTGAGCCACGACAGCGCAGCTAGTGCTGAATTCAAAACATGCTATGCTTGCAGCCACTCAAAAAGTTCATTTGTCAATGTGTCAAAAAGCAAGCATGTCCAACATGTAACATATTCCAAAAGACCCTTGCCTCCTCCATCTCGTTTCAGCTTGGCCAGCTTTTCGGGCTTCAAGAAAGATGATTTACCGTGGGTGAGTTGGAAACCAGATCGATCAATCGTGGCTGCACAATGTGCAACCTCAACAAACTGTAGGTCAGGTGCGAAATGACCCTGGTGAAATTAAACGTGCTGCTGAAGATGGTCTTTTAAAGCAAGAAATTGTCAAGCTGTCAAGCTGCCAAGAACAGTTTTTTTGACTGGTCTGGCTGGATGTTGGTCTCCACCCCATCTTTTCGCTGAGCCGATGTAAGGTACAAAGTAGTGCCTGGAGTTCGACCAGCAAATTTGGCATCTACTGCATACAGACTGAGCATGCTGTCCAGATCGGTTGGCTCGTTCTCCCATTCCTTCCTTTCCTTTTCTGGGGTCCCCTCAGCTGGAACCATCGTGTTGCTGATCACAGCAGAACTACCGAACCTTGGAACGCATGCACCAACAAACCGAGACAAACACTTCTTAAATGTTTCCTCACACAAGAGCCTACTGCAAAAACAACAATCTGACAAGAAACCTGCCATCAAAGTCCTGAATCGCACGAGCCCAGTCTGGTCCAAAGAGTGGATGATTGTGGTACATGAGCCGGATTGCATTCGGAAGCTGAAACTTGTACTTCTTGAACCCTTTCTCAAGACTGTCTACCTTCACTTCAATGACTCGCATGGGGAAGTCGCTCAAATCAATGGAGCTATGAGAGGCATCGGACGGAGGATCAGGATTGTAGCTGACCGCTGTGGGCATGCAATGTCTGCCAGTTTTCCACTCCTGGCAATGTTTATTGATTGAAGTCTCTAGAAAAAGGTGAAAGGAGAACAGAAGAAAAACACAATCGCACAGCATGATGAAGCTTCCCCGCCTCCATGAATCCCATCCCAAGAACCTTCTCTGAGTAGGCCAAGGCTTCAAGATCAAAGCCAACACTCAAGGTACGGACTTTCTGCCTGCCATCCCTACCTTCAGAAAGGTGCCAATGAGCGCAAACATCCTCCAAGAAACCATCATACGGAGTCATGTTCACAACTCCAATGGTCCCTCCACCCATTTCTCCACCCATGTCGCCTCCCGTGAACAAACCCG